GAAAGACTTGTTTTCGAACACGACACCATTATTTGATGTGGATAACATATATTTCGGGTCCCATCGCGTTTGAAGCAAAATCGTATACATTTAAAGTAGTCAAAGAAATTACGAGTAAATAGAGGCAAAAGGAAAAAAACTAATCAACGTCTCCGGAAAAACTTGTTTTCGAATACAGAACCATTATTTGATGTGGATAACATATATTTCGCGCCCATCACGTTTTGAAGCAAAATCGTATACATTTAAAGAAGTCAAGGAAAATATGAGTAAATAGGGAGAAAAGGGATAAAAATATTCAACGTCTACGGTTAGGCTTGTTTTCGAACACAACACCATTATTTGATGTGGATAACATATATTTTGTGCTCCATCATGTTTTGAAGCAAAATCGTTTACATTTAAAGAAGTCATGAAAAATGATTATGTTTTCAGTTCAGTTTAAGTCGAACCCCAAAAGTTTCAAAACGAACTTCTGCTGCACGGGGGTGACAATCCTTTGCTCGAGTAGATGCTTGAGTGGCTGCTGGTCGGTCACAATCCGAAATCGTCGTCCCAACAGATAAGGTCTCCAGCACCTTAGAGCTTCGACAACTGCTAGCATCTCTTTCACGTACACAGACAATCCTAGTCGAGTCATGCCTAGCGCCTTACTGAGATAGGCTAGGGGTTGTCCTTCTTGCACTAGCACGGCTCCAATCCCAATATCACTCGCATCTGTGTGTACCTCAAACAGGACATCAAACCTAGGCATGGTGAGCACTGATGTCGTAGTCATCGCGACTTTCCGTTTCTCAAACGCTTCCTTGCTAGCCTTAGTCCATGTGAACCCACCTTTTTTGGTCATCTCTGTCAAGGGCTTGGCGATGGTCCCATAATCTTTCACGAACTTTCTGTAGTAACCCGTGAGTCCTAGAAATCCTCTCAACTGCATGAGACTTGTTGGTTTAGGCCAGTCGACCATAGCCTCTATCTTTCGTGGATCAACCTTCACGCCATCATAGGATATGAAGTGACCTAGGTACTTAACCATCTTTTGCCCGTATGAACACTTGGACGGCTTAATGTGAAATAAGTTAGCCTACAGGATTTCGAGCACCACTCTTAAATGCTCTAGATGTTCAGCCCATGACTTCGAATATATCAGGATATCATTAAAGAAGACTAGTACAAACTTACTTAGATATTCCTTGAAGATGGAATTCATAGCGAATTGAAAAGTAGATGGGGCGTTGCATAGTCCGAATGGCATCACCAAATACTCATAATGCCCCTGATGCGTACGAAATGCTGTCTTTGGAATATCGGCCTTGTGGAGTCGAATCTGGTGATAACCAGCTCTCAGGTCGAGATTGGAGAAATAGCGCGATCCAGCTAACTCATCGAGCACGTCGTCGACACTAGGAATAGGAAATCAGTCCTTGATAGTTGCGGCATTCAGAGCCTGATAGTCAGTACAAAACCTCCACGTACCATCCTTTTAATTAGCCAACAATACTGGTGATGAGAATGGACTCGTACTATGTTGAATTAGACCAGACTCTATCATCTCGGCCACTTGCCGTTCGATCTCAGTTTTCTGAAAGTGAGCGTACCTATAAGGGTGGACATGTATGACATGCTGCTCATTGACTAGTGGTATGCGATGATCAAACTCCCTGTGCGGTGGTAGTCCCTTGGGTTCGCCTAGTACTCCTTCAAATTCTTCGAGAAGCTCGTGCACATCTCCTTGCTGCTGTTCGTCTTTGTCCACGTGCGCCCCAGTGTTCTCGACTACTACTACAAAGATTTGGCCGCCACCTCGTCAAACTCTTTCAATACTCTTCAATCCTACTTCCTTGGTACCTTTTTCAACGCCAGCACTCAGAGTGACTTGTCGACCTCCAGAGTTAAACTCCATAATTCCCGTTCGATAGTCGGTAGTCACCTTGCCTAATCCTTCGAGCCACTGTACTCCCACAATGACGTTTGGCCGAACCAGGGGTAAGGCATAGAGATCAGCTTTCACAGTAACTCCTTGAAATTTGATGGGTACCTTGCGGAATGACTCAGTACATCCTTTCTCCATTGGCTACTCGAACTTCAAAGGGTTCGATCCTAGTAGTTGGTAAATTCAGCTTTTGAGACAAATCAGCATTGATGAAGTTGTGGGATGACCCATTGTCTACGAGTACGATTACTCGTCGGTCCTTGACCTAAGCTGGTAGTCGCATCATCCTTAGCCCTCTAATCCCGGCCATTGCCTACATCGAGATCTCAGCTTCTTCCTCGAGCACTTCGACTTCGTCCTCTTGCTTTGTGTCCTCGTCGACCTCAGATTCTTGTTCCTCGGAATTGGCAACCTCAATTACAAAAGCTTGCTTACATTGGTGACCCAGTGTAAACTTTTCTTCGCATTTCAAACAGAGGCCCTTCTCACGCCGGCGTTTGACTTCTTCAGGCGAAAGCCGCCTGATTACTGGCCCCGGGGGTCGAGTGTTAATGGCCGGTCGTGCGCTCGTGGTCGCTTGGCTCGGGTCCGTGCGTCGCGTGTTGGTGAATCGAGCGTCCGCCCGTCCCCTTCGTGTTACGACTAGGTGATCCTCTGGTCGTCGGGCAACCTCCATCGCGATGTGCATGGTGTTTGGCCTCTCGAGTCGAACCTCTGCAGGTAGGTCTAACTTTAATCCACCTACGAACGCTCCCACCAATGCATCTTCGGGCCAATCACGCACGCATGCCAATCGTTCGAACTCCCTGATGTACTCGCGCGAGCTGCCTGTCTGCCATATGCGCGTGAGAGCCTCGTTGTAGTTATGGTAATCAGATGTACCAAACTGTGTAAGCAACTCTGTTTCAAAAACATCCCAAGTGATAATTTGCTGTTGCTTGCTGTAAATCCTTGTGAGCCATTGCCACCATACATTGGCCTTACCATCAAGATAATATGTTGCGTACCTTACACGGTCTGGGCCGTCGGTTTCGTTGAGCTCGAAATATTTCATCGCCCTGTTGAGCCATGCGTCTGGATTACTGCCCGTGAACGTGGATAAAGTGATGCGAGGTTTGTCGGGTACACGTCGCTCGCGATAGTTGGATGCCTGGGACTGCCGGTCAAAGTCCACCTCGCGTTCGTACCCTCCGTGCCATCGTTCCTGGTCGTCATCGTGCTCGCGGTCATGGTGTTGTGCGTGATCTTTCTGCCGTGGTGGTGGTAGTCGCGCAAGCACGTTGCGTGCCATCTCATCAAAGCGCCTATTCACGGTTTCCATCAAATCTTACACTGTCGCCTTGGTATTATCGAGTCCTTCACCTAGCGTATCAATGGCTTTGCTCATGCCACGGAATTGGACATCGAGATTATCCATCTTATCATTCATCTCCTTATTGGCCATGGCTTTCCTTTCTTCTCTTCGTTCTTTGCTTTGTGGACTCGTGATTGAAGATGAAGATGATGATTTTTTTTTTCCATGG